ACTGTAAATATAATGATATGAATGATTGCTAATTTTCTGCTATTGAATTATTTTAACTTAGGAAACTACAGTACTTATTATCAAAATCTGTATAAATTATCTGATAATTTGATGTGCATGTGTCTAATGATCAGTTTTGACCACCAAATAGCATTTAGTACCATTTTCTGGATCGTCGAAAGTGCTGGGTTTGCTTTTCCAAAAATTTAATCGATCAAATTTAACTTCGTCAATACAAGTGAAATGTTTTTTAAATTGTAAAAAATTCTCAAAAAGTTAATTGCCATTTTTGGCACATTTTGCACCGTATCTTCAAAACGGCAGGACCAGCCTTGGCCAAAAACTAATCAGCACATCAATAGGAATCGACTGTTTTTTTAATCATTCAAATGGGTTGATCCGTGCTCTCGAAATCGTCGACAAAAACTCGTATCCGCACATACATACCTACATATACACACACATGTATCCATTTTGTCTAACATTAATATATGCCGGCCGATTTGTATGGGTCAAAAAAAGTCGCTTAGACACACATGATTTTGAGATACTAGGGATCAAAATAAGATACTTTGCCTCTAAAATCAATTTTGATTTTGTTGATAAGGATTGAATTTGTTAAAAGTATCTGATAATCATATGTGCCTAAGTGACCTTTAATTCGACCCGCCCTATCATATATATAAACGACGTATCATATATATAAACTTAACTCAACAAAATTAAATAACGTTACTAAAATATCGAGTGAAATAAAATTACTGAGACTAAAAATGATAAAATATATTAATATAGGTATTATTTTATCACACAATAAAGTTAAAAAGGCGTATTCTCATTACTTATTCACGTTGACTTGCTCCATAAAATATTATTAATATACACAATATGTAGAAGTGTGTATGTGTATTTGTTGAACGCAGAAAGCATTTCATGTAGAATATAAAAGAAATCGTTAAAAACATTTTAATGTCGACAATTATAAGAACACAAGTACAAAAACGCTTCTGCACAGTCTGTATAGAAAAGTCGTATTATCCGACGTTTATTATATTATGTCTTTGATACCCGTGGGTTGAATTTTATTAGAAGAAACAGCCCACTACTGGCTACGAGTCGGCATTGCACTAAAATATATGGTTTTCAATTTATTTCTGGATTCTATTGTGACACTCCTATTTATAGAGAAACCGCTTCATTAATAAAACTACTATAAATATATTTTGCGATAAGACATTCTATTAAGGTAAAGGTAATGTTCACTTATTTTGCTTTGCTTAACGAGCATATCGTATAACAAATAATTCGGCTAATAATTTAAAAAAATATCTATCATATTAGGTTGGAAACTAAGTAAGTGCGATTTTCAGCTTAGATGGTTATAATTAAATTTTTCGGTTTGCTAGTGTAGTCCACATGTAAAATACCTTTTGTTAATAGATAGTAGACATCTGAGATTTCCATCAGTAAAAGAGAGTTTTTTGATCGTTTGCGTTTGGCGTTTGTTGAAAGATGGAAAATCAAATGGGAAATTTTTATCATACTTTGCTTTTTCATTTCGGCAAAGGTAAAGAAGCATCTTAAGCTAACAAAAAGTTATGAGCTATTTATGGTGATGAAGCCTTAAAAACTGCAGTGTCAAAACGAGTTTGCCAAATTTCGTTCTGGTGATTTTTCACTCAAAGACGAAAAACGCTATAGTCCTCGTTGAAGTTGATTCTAAAGGAATTGTCTACTTTTGACTATTATTGCCAACCTATTCTGATGTCTACATTAAACAACTAACAAAATTACAAATCGAATTGACAAATTAAAACGGCATTAAGTTTGAACGGCTTTAAGACAAGCATTAAGTTGAAAGATTTATTATCCTGAATGATGTGAACTTTAAAAATTCTTTGCAAGTAATAAAATTTTTATTATAAAATAAAGAGTTGATGAGTTGAAATAACAAAAGTTGACTTGAAAAGTTGATTTCTTTCACCTTCTATTATATTTGCAAATACATTTCTTTTCGGAATAAGATTTATAACTATGAACAAAAGCCTAAATGATAACCACGACTATGTGTTTGATAAATGTTGATTTGTATAGTAATTTATAACCACTGACATCCAAGTTGTTCCTCTGTAAGTGAACTACTGTTCCATGATGAATTGAGGTAAAATTGATAAACGATTGCGCGTTAATAGCGCTTTCCAAAGCTAAAAAGTAACAAAAATCAAATCGACATAAAAAAATCAAATCAAATCAAAACAAAACGTCAAATCAACACGAACAGCGACACAAATAAATAAAGGACAGAACAACTTTGACACAAAATCTCACGTCAATCCAAGGAGGTGCGCTTTTGCTGACGCGTTTGTCCCACACACAAAACATATATTACACACAAAACTATTTTTTTTTTCGTATAATAATTTTTTAACTCATGAAGAAAAATACGTATATATATATATATAATACTAGGTTTTGCAAATTGATGCGGACTGGTTTCGCTACTCTGCAAGAGTCCTCGACTAAATTTTTTTTACTCAAAAATCGAATATCAAAATTACAAAAAACACAAAGATCAAATAAACGCCATATTTACAAATTATATCTTTCTACATTGAGTATTAGAACATTTATAGTTATATATTTAGTATGAACACAAATTTTTATCTAAAAATTTTGTACAAATCAAAATACACGCCCTGCACTCGCAAAACTGGTGGCTGCAGTTTAGGTCAGATATTTAGATTTCGATATACTGCTGTTAGTCAAATAAAATTTTATTAGAAACGAGAAACTTGCAAACCGTTTTGGAAACTTACACAGTAAGATATTAATATACAATATCTAAATATATTATATGAGAGGAATAGTTTTTCCTGCTGAGTATCTTTTGAAAGAAATCATATTTTCAGCACATATTCAAGTGCAATATGGTCAAAAACTTTACAATATCTAAGAAAACAGTTTTTTGTGTGAAATGAACTAAAAGCTCGCTAAACGAGTATTTCTCATAATCTATATTTGGTGCAAAAGCAAATAAATCTATAAGAAATTGTCTGGCTTATCTAGTTTCTTTAGAAGTACTTCAGGAAATTCTTAAAAAATGTGATGACTTAAATCGTTCGAATATTTGCCATTTTGACTAATGGATGTTTAGGTTTACGAGTACAAATAACGCTTATTAAGGGGTATTCTGGTCTAAAATTTTTCAAAAATCAATGTGTTCAAAGTTTAACTTTCAAGAATATGTGTACAAGAAAATTTTTCAAAATTGACTACGATAATCTTCTTCTATTTTTTCTACTGCAAAACTTTAAACGCATGTTTCTCGAAACTGCCTTTTTCGACACTATACCCATGATTTCTCAACTTCTACTAGACCGACATATTTGAAATCTTCACAGGGTTTTGTTTATGAGCTTCTCCTCAGTATGAATCATCCCCAACTCTCATTTTAACTATTTTTTAAAAAATACGAGAATATAAAAAATATTGTAAATTATTTTTTTGTAGACTGGCCCTGATTTGTAAAAAACAGTTTTTTCACTTGTCCGTAGTTCATACAATTGCGACATTATTATAGATTGACACGTTCGCGGGCTGTAAAAGTTTCAGAAAAGTACAAAATTTGACAGTCATTTTATTTTTAAATTAGTTGTGATATACGAAATTTGATTAAATACCGTTTATAAAAGTAGTCATCATTATATTTTAATCGTGACGATAAATGTCATAGCATCTACGTCAAGTATTTCGCTTCTATTTCACGCAATTTGCATTCCCAAGCTAATAAGTGGCTATAGGAAAAGATAAGATAATACGAAAACACCCAAAGAATCAGTTAGTAATTTGACAGGTATAATAATCACAACAACAAAATGTTATATAAAATTCAAAATAATTTTGAATGCTATTACATTCAAATCATTCTGCATCAAAATAAAAATGAATGCTGTAGCATTCAAGTCCGCGAACGTGTAAACAATATATTTGCATTTTTTTTTCAGATTATTTGGACGACTGCTGGGTGTGCTCCAGTGCCAAATTTTTGAGATCCCTCACTTCATGAATTAAACTTTATGACTATTTTTCATTTATATTTTTTCTATATTCTCAAAACAGTAATTAGAATTGCAAGAAAATATTGTGAAATGTTTTCGTTAGATTATTTGGAGGGCCGAAATCATGGGTATGCTTCGGTGTCAACTTGTGATCACTCACTTCATGAATTAGAACTTTGACTATTTTCATTTATATTTTTATTCTAAATTCTCAAAACAGTAATTATAATTGTAAAAAAATATTGTAAACTGGTATCAACTTGCTGAAATACCTCTCTTTATGAATTCGAACTCTATGACCATTTTTCATTTATATATATTTCTATATAATATATAATTGTGAAAAAATATAGTTAAAACATCATTTACATCGTCCGCAAACGTGTTAATAATATTTTTGTATATTTTTTTTTTCAGATTATTTGGATGGCTGATATCATGTGTATGCTCTGGTGACAAATCGGTGTACAAATTGTTGACGTCCCTCACTTCATGAATTAGAACTTTATGACTATTTTTCATTTATATTTCTTTTCTAAATTCTCAAAACATTAATTGAAATTTAAAAAAAAATACTGTAAATTTTTTTTTTCAGATTATTTGGATGGCTAAACCATGGGTATGCTCCGGTGCCAACCCGCACTTCATGAATTAAAACTTTATGCTTATTTTTCATTTATATTTTTTTCTAAAATCTCAAAATAATAATTAAAATTATAAAACAATATAGTAAAAACATTATTTGCCTTTTTAACAGCCTTTCAAAAATCGCATAAAATTCATGCCTCTAGACCAGAATACCCTCTTCATGTTCCACCAAAAAACCATATGCAAGTTTCCCATTTTCCATCTAAATTATTTCTCATATGCAGTTCAATTTTAATATCCAAACGTTGCATCTATTATTATTATCAATTATTCTCAAAGCAGCACACTCAAAACGGACAAAAGCGCGCCGCGCTATTGTGTCGTATTTCGACTCGGGGGTACCTTGAAGACCTCGCACCAAGGCATCGCCTAACGATATCGCAGCGGGCGCCGCGGGCACGGCCGCGGTCGGCGTCTGTACGGCGGCCAAGGCTGCTACGGCAGCACCGAAACATGTTCCGCCCGCGCTGCTGGAGGGGACGACGGCCGCGCCGGAGGGACGGTTGCCAACCACTGGTACAGACACGATATTCAATACTAAAGCTGATATTGTTAGGAGACGAGGCCGGTCGGAAAAGCACATAGGGTAGGGCGGGGCTAGTTGAGCATAGGGGAAAGTTGGGCAATCGAAATATCTCGAAAACTATTCACCGTCCGTTTAGGCATTATATGGCGGAAAGATAGAGATTTGGAAAAAATAAACATCCCGCGATCGCTAGTGGCCGCTGGACAAATGAGTGAGGCTCACGGGCGTTTTGTTTATTTTGAGACCAAAAAGTAAAAAAGTCATTCATCACGAGTTTTCGTCTGGTTTAGTCAAATGTTATTTATTTTTAATCAGGTAAATGTTATTCTTTCATATAATTATAGTACATTTAATATGCACAGAGATTCTGGGTATAATTCTCACGTTTTTCTTATAAACTCACTTTCATTTTGAAATTCCGAGTTGGGGTTAGTTGAGCATAGTTGCTAAACTTGTTCTGTCACTAAGACAATTACCATCAACTTCCAGAAATTAATTATTATTTTTAAGATTTAAGCTAAGTCTATGAGTAATAACATAAAGAAATAATGATTTTAAACAAAAATACTGAACATAATAATAAAATAATTCCTAAGATACGATATTGTTTTGTTGATTCTACTTTTGGTTAATTATTCAAAGAAAATTACTATAAGATTTGTTTTCTCTGTCAATAAATACTATTAATATAGAACTGGTTATTAAAAACTTATTTTAATTCATCACTAATCGACATTAAACCTATAATTTCATTATAATTTCTTAGTGCTCAACTTTCCCCACCTATGGGGTACATTGAGCATACTTGACTTTTTGCATTTAAAGAGCTGTAGTTTTTAAATTTTACATATTATAAAAAAAAATAGTATTATTATTATCGTATAGCAATTTATTGAAACTTTTCATTGAGGAGCTACATCCGTTTAAGTGAAAATTTGCTCAACTAGCCCCGCCCTACCCTACATGTATTCCGAGTCACGGTTCAGAATTTTATTTCATGTGTTAGTAAAATATATATACGTTTTTATATTGTTTATAGCCGGAAGGACAGCGACAGCAGGGTTCATATTTGATGCGAAGTTCCATGAAAAGGACATAAATGTTCAGGAATATCCAAGGGAATAAAAAATATAAGAGTTAAGTAGATAACTAAATTATTACTATGAGAAATTATTACGCATAATTATTACTATGAGCAATAGTTACGCATAATTATGTCGTAGTAAATAAACTATGCATCATGTCTCCGGAATTAAATTACTGACGCTCGGTAAAAAATATTATGCAGAATTGCGCATTACGAGTTATGCATTTATACTTTGTAATATGGGAGGTTTGGACAAAATGACATAGTGTTTTGTTTTTTTAATAATATAATCTTTACTCATTTTAGATTCATTAACTACCGACTTCAAGAAGACTGAAAAGAAGCTACCCAAAGGTAATATGGAGGACTATATGGAATCACTTATTGAAGTGATTTTCTAACTATCAATATAATATGTATTAGATAAATTTATATCTGTGTTTGAAAGTGTGTGTGTATGTGTGCGAGTGAATGACATAAGCCAAATAGCTCATAGAATTGTCATGTATTCTGATTGCTATTGAAAATAAAATAAAAAAATTAAAAAAAAAAGACTACCAGTAGCATAGTCTTTTTAATTACGTGGAAACTATAATAACATATTAATTAAGGTAAAATGCAACTAATTACAAAAACCATTTTGTATAAGTTAAGGGCATACTGAGATACAGTAGAAGTCCTTTAGTCCGGCACCCTACAGTCCGGAATGCCCAATAGTCAGGCTAGTAGAAAGATAGTCAAAAACTAGAAATCATCACATTTTTGTTTTTTGTAAAAATTAAGAATTATTTTGTTAAATTTGAAAATATTTTAAATATATATATATATATATATATATATATATATATATATATATATATATTCTAATAAATGTAAAATAAGCTTTGTTGTTTGTATTTTCTACTGATTTTGTAGTTTAATTATTAATCTTACTGTTTTTATAATTATAGTCTGGATTTTTCGATAATCCGACACAGGGGTCAGTCCCGAGCAAGCCGGACTAAAGGACTTTTACTGTACCTATTTAAAAAAAACAGTTCACAAATAAATCGTTTGGTCTTCTTTTGGATATCAGCATTTGAAGCATGAGTTCAAAGAGAACAAGTCATACATCGTAACCAACCTTCGCCGGCCTTAGAACGCGAAAATGGGCCTTTGGATCCTTTAGCCTGTTTTTACAAGTAGTTACTATTGAATATAAAAGTCAATCATATTTTACAAGTATCAATTTTCCGTTTTCTTGGCTTCGAATAAACTAACCTGTAGTTCTTACGAAATAGTACTATGTCATTTTGTCCGAAACTGTACAAAAATGGATAATTATTCCAAATTCCACATTTCACTAGTACTGGGGCAAAAATTCATTAATGATAATAGAATAATGATTGTTATTTGATTACAAATAACAATGTGTAAGTCCTAAAATACATGACAAAGTGAGACGCCCGTTTAGGTTGATTATGGCGACAAGACTATGACAATGACGCTCAACATCTGACAGGGTTATGACTATGGATTTATCAATGTATTACAGTTGCGTAAACGTAACTAAAACTAGCAAATTTTTAAATAGGGCTGTGACATTGTGACAAGATATACCATTTTGTCCGTATTTCTTTCCTATATAATACTCATATACATTAGATTAGATACATATGTATGAATACATTAGATACATATGTATGAATAAAATGAAAATTTAAGCAGATATCCATTTGGTCATCTCTCCTCTGAATTTATGTTAGATTAAATTAGGTTTAAACCGTTACTAACGTTGCTGATTAATACTTTTAATTATTTCATATAATAATATAAAATCAGATCAAATGTAAAAAACGCTAAATAAAAAAATAAGTTATGTACTTGCGTTTGTTAATTATTAATAATTGATAGAATATGTAAGAAATCGTCAAAACATCTCCGAAAATTGATCTAACATAAATGTAAGACCATGTTGTAAAATAACAGAAAACAATTTTCTTCATACTAGTATAAATATATATATATATATATATATATATATATATTTGTATGTGTGTATGTATATGTATATATTAATTTATGTACAAGTTTTAAGTTAATACGAATGTATATTGTTAATTTATATATACATATGTGCACCTAATATTAGATATCATTTTTATAAAAGACTTTCTGTAGTTGAAGTAAGTCACTTATACAAACCTTGTGGATTCACTCATTCAACAAACCAAAGTCAAACATTTGGAATAAAAATTGCAACAAAAGTGTGTAAAGTAGAGAAAATAGTGTGCTGTTGACAAAAAAATTAATAAAAGTCATGCATAATGTGTAACTTGCAGAGAATATTAAAACCTTCTACCTGATTAAATGTTATAACAATACAACGAAACATTTCAGGTAATTTTTCAGTTTCGTTCACGACACGGATATTTGTTAAGATATGAACGACGTTTTCTTTCTAGTCATAAATAAACGTGAATTATGACTGGAATTAAATATGGAGTAAAAAAACTAGTTATAAATGTTGTAACTAAATGTAAAAATTATGATCTAAAATAATTAATGTAAAAACTTAAGTTATCACTTTTTTGGTACTGGAGAAAAGTTTATATTAGGTTGTTCGAAAAATAATTTCGTTGTTTTCAGATACAGGTTTTAATTGTATTTTAATCATGTTTTAAGACTTGTTATAGCAAGAAATGTAAGCAAAAAATGTTTTGTTCGGTAAAATTTTGAATTGCCTATAAGATTCAGAGTAAAGAAGATACAAATGTATCACTTTCAAGTTGATTGATGCTTCTAAAGTTATTAGTTACTGCAAACCAAAATAACACCTCGCAAGATGAGCAAAGAGTTAGTTTTTTGAATTGCAGCCTCCATGAACACGGATTTCGTTGATTTGTCATTTGTCCAAATAAGAAATTATTTTCCTAACAATTCAATAAAAACTACTGCCATATTTTAATTCAACTGTTATTAGCGAAATTTTCAGGAAAGTTAAAAAAATCATTTAAAACTATTAGTAGAAGGAATTAATGTTATGCAAAAGAAAACAAGCGAATAGTATAAAAAAATTAGAAGTATTAGTAGTAAACAAAATTATGTCACTTATTTCAAACATACCATTGGCATAGTACATTGTGTCATTAAAATCACACAAAGTTTTACGTAAAACACGGTGCAGTTTCATTATTAAATGTTGTCAGAGAAAATATAAGCCTCAACACACTGATTCCAGAAAAAAATCAGGTGATTTGCTGTGTTTTTTTCGTTTTAATGTTGAAGACGATGTATCTTGGTGTGCGAGAAGCCTTAATGACACTAGTCTGTGTAATATTTTTTGTGGACGTGACCAAAAATACAAGAAAAATCATAATTGACAAAAAAATTTCTTTTAATGGGACTATATATTAGGGGGCCCATTCTCCGATAAAATAGACCGTAACATAACAACGCTCCTTTTTTCATATAAATTGGTAGTAAAAAACTGTCAAAATGCTATGTATTTGCTGGCGATCAGGCGATTTACACATAAAACCTAACTTTACGTATGTGTTACAAAACACATGAAAAACGATGCAATTATGATACATTTCTTTATGTTGTGCAATTTCTAGGTAAGGTTTTATATCTAAAACACCTGACTGCCACAGCAAATACATATCATTTTGACAGTTTTACAACCAATTTATATGAAGAAAGAACCGTAACATAGCGTCCATAACAACGTTATGTTACTATCTATTTTATCAGAGAATTGGCCCCCAAAATTTTTATTAGTATCTACTAATACTTTTTTTCGATAGAACAGTTATTAAATTTGAGATTTTAAGTAATATTTTGATTTAATTAAATTGTGTTTTATTAGATAGACGATGAAATAGTGTTGATTAAAAGTAGATTAGACATTGAAAATTAAAGAAAATAAATACAATATAAATAAAATATATTTTTACACTTGCAGGTCGGATTTTGGTCATTTCCACAAAAAATCACAGTTCAGTACGAATCGCAACGATTTTTTTAGTGTCAGCGGTGATATAGGCGTTAGGTAAACCCAAAACTAAAATCCACGCAATTGTGATATTTACAAGAAAAACAGAAAAAAACTATAAACGGTACTATGATCAGCATCCACAGATTAATGCGATTTTTGTTGAAAAAAGCCAGTGTTAATTTTTAATATTCGTCGAACGTAAGTGATGATAATTTGCATAATGATTCATTAGCGATTTTCAATCAACATTTTTAATTTTAATTAAATTGTGTTTGTGAGTTTGATTTAATATTACCTTCGGGATCTTTAGCAATGACAGTAGAGCTCCTGTCGACGCCTCCTTTTTTATCCTCTGTGGAAAGGAGCCAAGTCACAAAACATGTATGAGTAGGAAGTATTTGTTAAAATGTTGTTCATTGAAAATGAAATAAAATTTTACTTATAGTGATTTGGCATCGAACAACTAAACTACATAAAATAATTAAAAAATATCGCACTTTGGTCAAGTATCGAACTCACACGTAATTTATAAAAACCCTATATAAAATTAGTATTTCAAAATTAAGTAAGTATTTTTTCGTAGTTATTGATATCCTAAAGAAAAATTATTGACGGCAATGTGACATGCATTCAGACGCAGTTTTCGTACAAAAAGTTCTAAACTGAAGATTTTAAGCAATAGTTCTAAATTATCAAATTTTTGCATTATACTTACATAATTAAAAATTTAGCAAGTGTATCACATATATACAAAATTTTATATTCTATACAAAATTTTATAAAAATCTACAATACAGCCGATACTAAAGAACTGACACAAAAATAAAAAATTTTAAATTGTCTATTACAATTTTTTTGATGAAGTGATTTATTCTGAAATATCGGCTGTCACATACATAAACTGAAATTAGCATTTACATAAACTGAAATTAGCATTTACATAAAAAACTTAGCAGTATAAAAACATACACAGATATGGAAGAAGCAGGTGACAGATTTAGTGGGTAGACAAAAGTCATAGCAGAAATTAAGATACGAGAATATTTACAGCAAAATAATTAAAATTTCTAGCATGAGTTAAAAAAATATTTACATATATGTTTTAAAAATGTAAGAATTCTCGTATCTTCAATATCATATTTTAGAATGATAGTTTTGATATGAACAGACCATTAGCATATAGAATAAAATGTGAGTGAACATATTTTTTTTAGTTTTCGTACACCGGGTCAACAAGTAACGTGCCGAACAACTAAAACATCAAATGCAAGTAAACTCTTGTTTGGTATTACATATAAATATTAATTAGAAAAATATCTCTCGTCGTCGAAATTATTGTATATTTATATATTGTATTTTATTGCCACTGTATTTAAATTAACAAAAAGCTATAACGCAAAGATAATTTGAGTTTGCGTTGTTATCGATTGATAAAAATAGGGAATGCAATACCGATGAAAAATTTCGATACCGGTATTCGGTATTTTCGATTTTAAAACCGGTAATACCGGTAAAACACCGGAAGTCATATTATTTTGAAAATCACAAAATTGCAATACCGATAAAAAATTATTATACCGGTATGTCGGTATTTTCGATTTTAAACACCGGAAGTAATATCATTTTGAAAATCACAAAATCGGTCTTTATCAAGAAATAGTTGAGAGTATTTTCATTTAAAACAATATAATGGTGCTAAACTATTTTCAAAAAGCGATACTTTTTATGTAAAATACTATTTTATAATTATTGAGCTTTTTTATTTCTCAAGATTAATTTACAATCGGTTTTTTATAACAAAAATATTTAATAAATATTATGATCAGTATGAAGATTAACAAGTGGTAGAGCTTAAATTTGTGAATTTTGAATATTTTGGCGCCGATGTCACTTAATAAAACAGTTGCATTTTTACTTAAGAAAAAATAAACATCCTTATCTATTCGTCCGATTCGATTTAGTGAGACACGATATGAAGCTTTTTGGAAAGAAATAAATATACAGTTTAATAACGAGTCGAGATAATATTTTGACACTAGTTTATACAATAGAACGACCTAAAAAGATATATATTTGTTGTAAGCGATTATGAGATTTGAAGTTTAGATGATTCCGAAAACCGCAAGTTTAAGTGTGACGTGTATCGCGCTTTATAATTTCTGGTTTACATGCCGGAAATATCGGTATTTCCCGTTTGCATACCGGAAATACCGGTACTAATATCGCCGAAAATGAGACGGTATACCGGTTTTTCCGTACACAGGTATACCGGTATTGCATTCCCTAGATATGAACTAGCAAAAACGCTGCTTTAATTATTGCAAAATTTACCCCTGAATCGTTATTTAATTTTAATAATATAGAATATACACCATGTAAGTTAAAATAATACATAAAGCGTTGCAGGATTCGCATTGCTGTTATTTCAATGTTGGTTGCCAGAATGATGAAAAACTGTGCATATGAAATGAAATGAAAAATAGACGCCACGCCGCGCCGTCGTAAAAAATACGATTTTTTCTGCGATAAAAATGCTGTATATTCTACAGCATAATAATAATGTGAAAAATGAACGTAGAAGAAATATACAATCAGAATTTAAACGAATTTGATATTTGCTATGAATTTTGAATGGGATCTAAATAAAGAATTTTATGGCGGCAATAGAAGTATTAACACTAAAGCTACCGATTGATTCAAAGATAATAGTAATTTACAGTCGTTCTGCTTTTAATATTAATTGTTTTATAATATTTTGCAAATTTTATTATGTATTCTAAATATACATGAAATTCAGTTACAACTGGTAACAAAGCTTCAACTAATAATAATAAAGATAGACCCGTAACATAGTGTTACTATAACATTCTTGGTCATGAATCTCAAATTTTAACTGAAATTTGCCAGCAATGTTAAATTTTTATTTTAACACGTTAATCGTCATGCCTGACATATGTGTCTGACACTAAAAAGTTCTACATGAACCATGTCTGACATATATGTCTTACAAATTGATCTGAACATTTCTTGACTTGAGATAAAAAGTTGTTATATAGGTTCACGTCAGACATAAAAAATAGTGTTTTTCCAGGAACTCATACGAAGATAGACCCGTAACATTGTCATAACGTTTCCACTTGATCGGAGAATTGACACCAAAATTTTTTGGATCAATAATTCCGTAGATGTGAAGTCATTCAAAAAAAGTGAAGTAAAATTTGTTGCAAATTTCAAAATTAATGAACACAATAAACTCAAAATTTAGCAAAAAAAAAAACAAAAAGTGTGGAGAATTAATTCGGTAGATCTGAATTTATAAATGTGAAATATATACTCTTGATATCAAATACATAAGAAAATTTTATTATCAAAACCAAAAAATAAACGTTTCAATTACCACTTCGGTAGATTTAGTGCTTTCATCAGATATCAATTCAAACCATTTATTTTAATTTAATCTTTTATAATAGAACTTTCAGATTCTTTGCTATAAATTATTATGAATCCTATAAGCTTTTATGGAGAGCTTTTGTTATTGCTTTTGAATGAGATATGGTAGCAGGAATATATGAATATTGCATCTACAAGTACCATGGTATACAAACAAATGAAAATTGAAACGCGAAATAGTGTCTGAAATATAACTCTTGTATTATGGTGATGGGAAAAGTAATATTGTGGCACTGCTACAATTTTGTTACTGAAATATAAAGATAAACGTGAGAATAAATTAAGAGTAATACTTTATCGGAAAGGAGCTTTACAGGTAGTAAAAACATCAAGGAAATGATAGTATAGTAACACTAACATATGATGCAAGAAGAGGACAAACCTAAGATTTTTAAATTACTAATCGTGGTAGAAGTGGTGAAACCACGTAAAATATTCCTTCAAAATCGTACTTAAAAATGATCACAAAACACGTAAAATAAACACAAAATTATTTTCAAAAAACGCGCTTAAAATTACGATATTAAAAATCTATTTTGCTCGAGTCATTTTTCTAAATTAGTTTGAAGAATTTATTTGTTTTCCATAATTTCGATTATAGTTATGATCCATTTGAAATACAAGGCAGCTTTCAATGTACGACATATCCAAATCATGCTAATGTCAAAAGCTCAGACGAAAATTGATACTAGCACGAATATATGTTTACACAGACGTTGCACTGTTTGAATATAGAGAATGATGTCCTTTACATTAATTAGAATAATCCTAACATTATAGATGTCCAAAGCGATATTTCTGGTTACAACATGAAATAGAACCTATGCATTCGGTAGCAACATCCACTACCAAAATTGGATTGTGATTTCTACGAAATTGATGTGAAAATTTAAGTTTGTACGAATTTATATTTTTCGTCAAGTAGTTAGGTGAGGCATAAAAATACAATGAATTGTTAGACTAATGTTTCTATTTAAAAAACGTTATTTTCGAGGCACCACAGTTGGCCATGAGTCCGGAGTTAGTGGGCGTACATTAATCACGTGATCGATTTTTTTTGAGATTTTGGAACCCCCTTTCCCCCTTGCTTACGTCCCCTTGACACGGTGTGATATTTAGAATTGATCCCCCTCCCCCACCAAACATCACGTGTACTTTTAGTTATGCAAAATTTTTCGAATTTACGAAAAAACCGTAAAATTTTTGAATCTTTTTTGAAAATCGAGGTAAAAAATAAATACACGTGATAACTTACTGGATCCCACCCTCTCCCCACGTAATATTTTGTAATTTTTTGTCATCCCCCCTTCCCCCTAAGAGCCTCACGTGTTTATTAGTCACGCCCCCTCCCCTTGGTGATACGTCGTGATATTTACAATTACCCCCCCCCCCTACACCACTACACATCACGTGTATTTTGGTTGTGCAAAATTCACGAAAAAATCATAAAATTATTGATATTTTTTTGAAAATTCAGGTAAAAAATAAATAGTCGTAATAACTTACTACACCCCACCCTCCCCCACGTGCTATTTTGTGATTTTTTGTCAAAGCTTCCTCTCCCCCTAAAAGCCTCACGTGATTAATAGACGCCCTCTCCTCCTTGGTGATATGTCGTAATATTTAAAATTACTCCCCCCTTTCCCCCCACAAAACATCACGCGTATTTTTAGTTGTGTAAAATTTTTCGAAACAATATTTCAAATTCACGAAAAAAACGTAATTTTTTTATTTTTTTTCGAAAATTTAGGGTAAAAATGAATACCCCTAGACCTCTCCCTCCCACAAGTGATTACCCCCCCCCCCCTTTCCCACACCAAATATCACGTGTATTTTTAGTTATGCAACATTATTCCAATGAATTTTTCGAATTCACGAAAAAATCGTAAAGTTTTTTTTTTTAAATACAGGTAAAAAATAAATACACGTGATAACTTACTAGACCCCACCTTCCCCCCACGTAATATTTTGTGATTTTTTGTCAACCCCCCCCCTAAAAGCCCCACGTGATTAATAGACGCCCAGTCCCTACCCCTTGGTGTACGTCATGATATTTAAAATTATACCCCTCCTCCACCAAACATCACGTATATTTTTAGTCATGCAAAATTTTTCGAACGAATTATTCGAACTCTATTATTCCTAACTCTAGAATTTTTTTTTTTTTGAAAATTCAGGTAAAAAATAAATACACGTGATATCTTACTAGACCCCACTCTCTCCCCACGTAATATTTTGTGATTTTTTATTAAAAACCCCCTCCCCCCCTAAAAGCCTCAGGTGATTATTGAAAGCCCCCTTAGCTTTGAGATGACTAGAAAGAAACAAAATAATGATTTGTCATGACATTTTCGAATTTCCAAAACTGAACAAAGATTTTTAATACTGTTTTATACTTTTGTATGGCAGTCTATTATTGATAAATACTTTTCTACGATTTAATTTTTGATTTTTTTTATTTGTCTGAATTCGTTAGTCTGAATCACTACTGTAAAATCGTCAAAAAATCAATTTGTAGGATCTAATAATACTTTGAAGTTTCTAGAATATGAGAAAAAATATTTCATACCTGTATTTCTTGTATTTTTTGTAACTTTTGTAGGCAGTATTTTCTTAAACTTGGTGTTATTTTTCAAACGCATCGCAATGCCATTTTTCAAAACGCCACGCAGCATAACTCCAACAATTTCCATTTTTTTTTATTTATTTAATTTTTTATAGAAAAAGATTTTGAAGAAAAATACGTAAAATTTTGATATGTACACTAAATCATTATTTATAAACAAATGATGTTCTTTTGTTTGAAATTTTCCATAGTCATTCCTCTATCATCTATCTAGGCATGTACGATACTACTAATCGCAAACGGCGGGATTTTTGAATATTGTTTTATAATAATTTTCTATTTTGTTACATAACACGTTAATCGCCACGTCAGTCACATGCTACGAATTTCTGCATTATATTGCATATGTCAGTCACAGATGTCCGACGCAAACAATACCTTTGTGTTAATGGAAAAAATATAAAAATTTCTTGGTTTTCATGTATGAATGACATATAAAATGGTGTTTTTCTAAAAATATCAGCAAAAAAAAAATTTCTTTGATGCATTAACTTTCCTTGATACATTTTTAACTAAATTATCTGAAAAAGTTACCATGACCCATGTGATTTTTTTTTATATTTAGAACGAATTAAGCTCGTAAGGCGGGGTACCACTGTATAATGAAAAACAAAACAAATCGAGCCGAAAAAAAAACTAGAAGTCTATTAGAATAAAGATAAAAATGAAATGTTTTGGAAATTGAAAATTTTTGGTTATAAGTTACCTATTGAAGATAAACCCACTGTTACTATCCAGTTAATAATAAAAGGATTTTCAGTAATTCAATTCAGATTTTAATATACACTTAGACATATGCTCAATAATTTAATGCATTTTTATACCTCAAACAAACGTGTAAATTAGGGTGGTCCTTAAAATGGATGTTTTCGAATTTCCTTGCTCTCAGGGGCTTCCAAATTGATGAAAAATAATTTTCGGAAAGTTTTAGCTCTTAATATTAACTTTAAGATAGTCCGCAATCCGACTAAAGTTTCTAGCTTTTTCCTCCTAAGTAAATACTTATTTTATAGCATATATCAAATTTTTGTTGTAATTTTTTATTTATGATCAAACTAAGCTAATACGATGTTATTCTCAAAAATCACTTATAAAACAAATGGAATTTCACTCATGTTATTTCCATAAGAAACTTTGGTTGGAGTGCGGACTCTCTTAAAGTTAATATTAAGATCTAAAACTTTCAGAGAATTATTTTTTATAAATTTGGAAGCAATTGAGCTCCTGGGAGCAAGGAAATTCGAAAACATCCCTATTAAGGACCACCCTATTGCACATGCAAATATATATAATGAGCACAACTTTCAATACTAATAAGTTCTAACAGTATTTTCTAGTAAATTTTAGCTATTTCATGTTGTAACCATATGCTGGACCTATAATACATATTATCTATATGACCCTCCTTTTTCTAAGAATTCTCCTTCGTTTGGTGAACTCAAATTCGGTGAAATTTCAAAGAAGAAAGTAAGAAAATTATGAAAATGAGATAGCGACCAGTGTTCACACAAGTTCAAGTACGATACAATTATATAAAAATTCTTACCTTTAACGTCATCATCTTCTAAAGTTGTGCTAGAATCCGTGGATTCCTTAACTTGTGATCCATCGCCCTTTTTCGTTATGATACTTCGACCTGGAACATGTCGATGCAATTTAAAAATGTGCACAAAATTTCAGTTACCAGAGTTACCCAGAAAATTGATTTTGAAAACATTTAACAAAAATGAGACGTTTTTCTCCACAGTAGTTAAATAAATAGAATATTATAAAATTTTACTTTTTAAGTTTGTTGTTTCACTATTTAATTTATGATTACTACTCACATCGATACGGGCTTAAGCATGCAGTTTCCATTAAGTAATAACAAGTATTGATTCCAATTTTCTAAATAGCTCTGCCAATTTATTTTTAAAACATCATCACAGAACATGAATGGTATCGGATGTCGATTTTTTACCACTTATGTAAAAAGCCCGTAAAATGTATAAAATTATTATTTAAAATTTTTAAATACAATGCAAGTAGTGAACTAAACTTGTTCGGTATTCATTTCAATACTGAACAGAAAAAGTGTTATATTGAATACAACCCGGACAAACTAGTGACACGTATCGATTTAAATTAAAGCGATTCTTCTTCAATAGAATTGCTGAATTTTAAAAAGGTAGAAACACACAACCTTGGGGAATATTTATGTTAATTGATTCATGTAGCTATTTTGGTATGTAGCATAAAATAAATTTATACGAGCTGGAAAAGTACATGGACAATAGCTAAGAATTTTGGAAAGCCTTAACGATAGCGTATTCTTTTTAGTAATTTACTACGGGGTTGAAAACTTCCTAATCAATTTTGAAATTTCTCTTGAATTTAATTTTTCTTGAATTTTTCTAATCAATGTATAAGTTAACATATAAACGACCACCAGACAATCTTGATATTGAAAAGTATAAAAATAAGACGATTTTCTCCAAAAATGAAAAAAATATTCTAATGCATAGGATCTACTCGACTCGAATTAGTTTTCACTTAAAGTTTCTTCAATTTAGGGGACAATAAAATAATATATTTTCATTATTTTATTAAATTTATCATATTTATTTATCTGTGGTCAGTTAATCAATCCATTAAAATTTACTTTAAAAAAATGTAAATGTAATGTAGAGGAGTCTGGGTACGGTTGTGCCAGGGTACGGTAGTGACAGTCGTATATAACAGCTATACTATACAGATTTTGAGATAGAGTCTAAAAAAAGATGAAGTATGTTTGTTCGAACAAGTTTCCTTGTTGCATTGAGTCAGCGTCCTACATTAAAATGATCCGTAAACCGTATTGCTTTCAAAGAGCCAAAAGAAAATTTTTTTGTTTGATTTTTTTATTAATAACTAATATTTCTTAGAGCATTTTGTTTGTTGTTTTGCTGTGGGTTGAACATAGTAGTATTTTACCAGCAATTTAGTAGTTTTTGTGTAAATAATTTAGCTCTGTCATAATACTAATTTGTTTTCAAAAGTGTGAATTGGGTACGGTTGTGACAAATTTTGTGGGTACATTTGTGACATGTATTTCAAATCGTTTTCGGATGAAATTTGAACAAACTAAAAAAAATCTAGCTTAACTAACAAGTTTTGTAAGACAAATACGAAAAAGAAAGGATAAAGAAAATTCAATACAAGAAAAAACGATTTCACAGAGATTTCTTTTTAAATTTATTTGAAAAATTATATTTTGTTATATATTGTTATTTTATATTCATAGGATTTGTTGAAATTATTAAGTTGAGTTGTGTTACATATTTCTGACAACAAAAGTGTTATGAATCATCTTGGTGTTTAAGCTTTTGTTTTGTTACCTATGTTTATGCCTGTCACAGCCGTCCTGAGAATGTGTTTGAAAATTGTAGGAAATATAAAGACCAGTATTTCAACATAGTCAAATGTTAAAATTACCATTTGCTTTTCTTTTTTCCCAGCTAACTGGTAAATTACCAAAATTATTGCTGATCAAAAAAAAGGTGGCACAACCGTACCCATCCTCTAGCTAGTGTGATTTCATACCGTGTTCATAATGAAATTTTATGCTAAGTAAATAATAAATAAATAAATCTAACAGCAAATATTTGTACAAGTAATTGATTCATAACAAAAGTACTAAATCAAATTTATTTTATTCCCACATATGACCAATTACTTCATGAGCTTTCCTTCTGCAAACTTTTAACGTCATTTTCTGTTTTTTACATTTAATTTGTTTGTCCGAGAAATATTCTCTTTCAGATATCAAAACTTCTGTATCAAACAGAATTCATAAAGGCGTTGAAAATCATGCAATCAGCACCTAGTGATATAACATGCAACAACAAAAAATCGAAGGCAACATGCATATACAGATTTTCATAAAAGAATTCTAATTATGATGTAAATGAAATGATGCATTAGATAAATGGATATAGAAAAATCTAAAATTCGATTTATATATATATATATATATATATATATATATATATATATATAAAATGAAAGTATATAAGAATGACGAGTGTTCTAATAAGAAAAATGTAAAATAGTAATTTATAAGAAGTGGATTGATGGGTTCATGAACACAAAAAATAGCAATGTAGATTTACTTACAATTTTGAAAATACAATTATTTTTTCAATTTCAAAATAACTATTTTTATATAATTCGTTATAATAAGTTCGTTTTATGACTCAATAAATAATAAATAAAACATGTATGATTATACAACAACAATTTAGAAAATATAATGATATCAACACGACGAAATGATCAAATCTGTTTGCGAACCGCTGATCAGAAATTATTATCACCACAAAACACAAAATTAAATTTGTTAGTTAGGATTAAAAATCAATTTCTCAGTTGTCCATGCTTGTTTCTGAATATATCTTAGAACACTATTTTGTTGTATCTGAGCTTTTTGCGAATTCTGACTGCAAAATAGGGTCCAATTTTCCGATAATATAGAAGTGTTATGGGAAATTTATGTTACAGCCCTTTCTTCATATCAATTGCATATTTGCTGTGCGATCAGGCGTGTTACACATAGAACCTAACTTCACGTATGTGTTATCAATGACACATCAGAAAGATGCATTTGATCGTTTTCTAGGCTAGATTTTATATATAAAAAGCTTGGCAAATACATAGCATTTTGGCAGTTTTCACTACCAATTATGATCTCAATAATTGATAACTGATATTGAGGTGATATTGTTTTGATTCATTGCCGATGGAACAGGCTTTAAAAGCAATAAAATTAAAACTTACCTAAATTTATTTCTTTAGTGTTATTATTGAAAATTACATAAATAATTTATAATTTGGGCCTAGAAAATTCTTGGCCCTTGACAATAGTAGTTAGCATTAGAGTAGTCTCAAAAGTTATTGAAATATGAATAGTATCTTTGAATATAATATTTTATGATAATGTATATAGGATATTCGTTCTAACAAAAAAACCTTTCTCACGATCACATCTTCAATTTTGACTGATTTTTTAAAGTGTTCATCCTCAAAAAAATATTTTATAAATATTTAAAAATTAAAATTTTGCAGCTATGCAGATTAATTTTGGAACAAATATTACTCTGGTTTTATTTGGTAGCTTCTTTTTTTATTTATTTTATAAAATAAACTTTTTTTTGTAAATAAACAAATAGTAAAATTTTAATCAAATGATATTACTTGTGGGTAAAGTTAATTGCAAATTCATTATCATTGAAGAATAATTGAACAATTTTAAAAATAATAATATTAATCATTTAATTATCGATTAATTACATTAATAAAAATAATAATAATCATTGAATATTTTCAAATATAGTTTGTAATTGACTCTTGCACTTAATTAAATTATTATAATATGAAATTAAACAAATACAGAATGATTATGAAATCGTGATAATTGATAAATAAAAAACTATACAAAAATAAGGCGTTCATTGTAACTCAATAAATTAATTATACACATTTAAAAGAATATTTTCTATGAATGAAAAACATTTTTTATATAAAACGTACCGTACAAGAAAATTCTGAATTAAAAATACGAAAATTAGGAATAAAAAAAACATGAATTTTCAAATTAAGTCTACAAGCCAATAATGCAATATGCAATAATATAATAGGTGAAATACTTTTAATATAAAATTTAATAGAATAACCAAAAGCAAATATTAACAAAAAACCTTACTATATGGGTAAGGTAAAAATCGGAAAATTTTACTGAAACTATTTTTGATAAAAATATAAACTACTAATTTTTAAATAACTTGATATACGTATTTTCAAAAATAAGTAATTAATGAAAGTAAGTAATCAATAAATAATTTCAGTCAAATCTAAGAAGTAAAAGAACAAATAAAATTAATTTTCGCAATGCAATCATTTATACTTGTTTATATATGAATGCAATATAAATTTTGAATACCATACAAAATGCAATAAAATAATAAAAAAATATTTCTGATATAAAATTTGACAAAATTATAAAAAACATGTTGCAGGTTAAAAGGTTGACCTCGAAATTTAAAAATCTTTATTGCTTAATCATTGGTATTTATAACAGCAACACTTTGAATGAAAACCTACTCTTTCGAAGCTAAAAAATGAGAGACGTAGTTCCAAAATTAAGAGGCAAATTCTCGGATAAAATAGAAATGTTAAGGTTCTATAATCATATGATTTGGCAGTCACAAACTATCAAAAAAATATGTAAATTTATTGTGCGATCAGGCGTTTTACGCATAAAACCTAACCTCCAAAAGGCGCAAATATCAAATAACAATTTTATCATAAGTGCAACTTTCTGACGTCACTTTGATACAGATATGTAAAGTCTAACCAAAGTTAGTATTTAAGTTAGTTGGTTCCTTTTGGAGGTTAGGGTTTATGTCACATCAAACAGATAATTTTTTGACAGTTTGTGACAACAAACTCATACGATTATAGACCCGTAACATAGCACTTCTATTTTATCCAGAAACTGGCCCCTAAGTCTGCAAGCCGAATAATTTTCTGAGTCCTCCAGTTTTTGACTGACTTTTTCAACAACACATTCAGTCAAATTCAAGACGTGAAGGTAATTTTTATTGAACGACATATCCCATA